TGTCTGCTTCTTCTTCCTCCTTCTTTGGTGACTTTCTTTTAAAAACTATTGGCTTCATCTGGTGCATTAACTTTTAAAACCTCTGTCATGGGCGGAGTCAAGGTTTCCAGCCAGCCAATTGAAACTCTGGTAAAGTTTTTTTTTTTTTAACCAATCAAAATGTCTGGCGGGAAAAACAAGGTTCTTCAGACAAAGGATGGGAGTGGTTTAGTCTAATCATCTTGCATCTAATTAAAGAGGAAGGCATCTGCTTTACATCAGTTCAAATAAGAATGTCTATCTAGTTAAATTCAAATCTAAGGTTTCCTAAGATTAATTCATGAAATCACACAGTTTAAAGAAACATCTTTTTCAGAAAAACATTTCGTCGAAACAATTAACACCAAAATACACATTTATGACACTCTTCTTAGTGGGCAAACAGTTAAAAAGAACAGAGTAGTCAATCTTCCCTCTTTATTTACTTAAGGTGTGGGATCCTTTGTTCTTAGTCATGCTGAGAGGAGTCTGGCAAAYCACGTTACGACCCCACCCCCTCTTTTCTTTGAAGAAAAGTAGATAGATTGTCCTTCTGGGGGTTGGCTGGAAGGTGATAATGCAGATTCCTTCAGTAGTCTTCTGAGGCGCTATGGTGACGACTGATATGCTAATTTCAAGCACAAAGGTTCATGCAAGTTCCTTAACAGAAGTTTGAAAAATATATCTGACTCTTTTCCCAAACAGTCATAACAAGTTATGTCCATCAGAAATCATAAATCGAGGTAGGTAGGAAACCCCTACATAAATAAGATAAAAATCAAACCATCTGCTGAGGAACTGATCATATCTGAGGCCACACCTTTTCTGAGTCATCAGGAAGTTTGTAAAGTTTTTATTTTTTGTTTTGTTTGACATGAATGAAGACAGTTAATCCACTGATGAATTCTTCAGCTCAGACGTTACAATGCTGCAGAAGCTCTTTAAGCTTTTGGCTTTTTATTTTTTTCTCTGCATGTTGTGTTTGTTGGTCTTTTTGTACAGTAAAAATGGATCTTTGCAGATCTCTGAGCCTCCAGATGATGAGCAGAAAAAAGAGCAATATTTTGATAAAGTGGCAGAAAACTTCTGGAGGACTGAAGCTCCAGGAGTCAGATTAGGATCCACAGCAGCTGAAGTCCTGCAGCCGTGTCCTGAAACCACTCCAGACCTGGTGGGTCCGCTTCACGTGGAGTTTGAAACCAACCGAACCCTGGACTGGGTCAGGGAGCAGGTCGGTTCTGTCCTGCAGCTGGGGGGCCGGTACAAACCCCCAGACTGTGTCTCCAAACAGAAGGTAGGAGAAAAAACTTTACAGTTTTTACAAACAATAAAAACGTTTTAATAAAAATCATTTAAATTAAAAATGTTTTAAATTCAGGTTGAAACTTTGTTTTATTTTTGTTTTTTTTACATCTTTTTTAAAATAGTTTTTAAGATTTTTAAATCTGTTCTGAAACAAAAGTTTTGTTGTTTTTGACCAGTTTTACAAATAATTCATCTCTGTTGTAAAGTCTTTCTTTAGGTTTTATCTGCTTTAAACAGGTGAATCAGGACCTTCATGACACATAAAACTGTTTTTATTTGTCTTCATGCTCTTTGTCTCYATCAGTATCAGGTAGTTTAGTTTGAAAGAATTCTTTGTCACAAGATGTGTTCATGGAAAACCCAGAGTCGCCCTCAGGCTCAGCAGGCAARTAGAGACACGAGGAAGAAAAATTACTTCAACGTTCCCTTTTTAAAACGTATTGTTTCCTAATCTGAAAAACACACAATAATATAGCAGATTATTAAATCTTAAAAATGACAGTAATGTTACTTATTCGCTGTTTTATTTTGAAATTCTGCTCACTGTCAGATTAAAGASGAATTTACTGTTATTAGGAAGAAGTCAATGTTAATTTATTAAAACAAGTTTCATGAGTTCTTCAATCTTATTTAGTTGTTTAGTGAAGATCATCTACCTGCTGCTTCAACAAGTTTGTTTTCAAAGATTTTATAATGTTTCGTCCCGTGACACTTAATTGAAACAAATTATTACAAGTTCACAAGTTTATTTTAAATCCAATGTTGGGTTCCATAGAATATAGCTGATTTAGGCTGTGGAATAATTCCTGGTTCCTCAGATTAATAATCCCTAGTTCCTCAGATTAATAATCCCTATAGTTCCTCAGATTAATAATCCCTAGTTCCTCAGATTAATAATCCTTGGTTACTCAGATTAATAATCCTTGGTTACTCAGATTAATAATCCTTGGTTACTCAGATTAATAATCCTTGGTTACTCAGATTAATGAAGGTAACATTTTTGTGAACCTCTGTTAGGTGAGGTTTTATTTGGTGGGGTTGTGATGAAAGTGTCGTGTAAATTTTAACTATGACAGTTATGGAAATATTTATTTAACAAAGACAGAAATACGTGGTCCAAGAATGAAGGTACTCTGTGAGATGATCAGCTGAGTTTTATTGCAACAACAGGAAACACAGAGAACAACATCAGACTGTCGTTCTTCTCTCTGCTCCTGTTTCTTCTCTGAGAGAGTTGAGGCCTCATATATACTGTTTAACAA